CTCGAACCTCGAACCTGAAACCTCGAACCTCGAACGGTCGTCGCTACAACGCGTAGGCGCTTGAGGTACGGAGCGACAGGTGCAACGTTAAATATTTAAAGTGCGGGCTTGCGGCAACAAGCAGCGATCGATGATTGGTCGCTGGTGGCGTCAGAAGCTACCAGGAGTTGCACAGAACACCGGCTGACCACTTGCACAACAAGAACCACAGGAGGAAGAAGAAGCGATGTTCGAAGAGGACGACGACGACGACTAATTAGCGATCGTTCGTCGTTGTTCAAGAGAAAAATTGTTGTGCGCCTCGTAACGACTTCCGACGGAAGCGAGGTGATGAATTGAAGACGAAAGCCGAGCGAGTGAAGCAGAGCGCGTTGTTCCACGTGAAAAGAAAACGTCACCTCGACGTTCGGAGCGAACCTCATTATTTACCGACGGTTCGGGGAGGACAGATGGAGGGGGAAGGGCGAGGGCGCAGGGCAGTGGCAAACATAGTGGAGGCAAGAGACAACGAAACAGAGGTGAAAAGAAAAGTGACACTCTCCTATTGCCTCGAAGTCGGTGCTCACGACGGTATTTTCCTCGCTTCTAGCAAGGCGGCGAACCAGTCCATCTGATCGCGTTACAGCTGTATAACGCGCACAATGACCGTTTCCAAACTAACCCAATAAAACCGAGCAGTATTAACCACAACTCACTTTCGACATCACCGCGGTTACAAGCACCCCTCTGCCTGCCAGGCACCCCGGCGATGTTTCCAATGATACGATACGCGTAAATTACAATAGCTTTACACCAGTCTGATCACGACGCGGGTCCGAGTCGATCGATATTCGGATGTGGCGCCACGTGTTTGCTTAGCCTCGATGCTTTCTCTGACTCCGCTAATCCTCCCCGTTCATTTACTAGCATCAAGTGGAACTTCTCTAAGTAGGCCAGCATTCAATACTGGAAGGCAACTCTTTCCCTAAACGATCAATAGGCGTTTTAGATCAAAACGACTCATTTATTGTTGTCATAACATACAGCATTCTCTTGAGCATACTGCCATGCGCCGCTTAAGCTTCAGTTGGGAAATTTGTACACAAGTTAATCAGCCAATCAATCAGACCTTCTGCAAAGCTGACCGCGGAACAATGATCGCCATAACATTCATTAGTTTTATTGTCAGGCATTTTTTTTAAAAACATTCTTTGGAGCATATATTCCGGTTTCCGACTGTAAGCTTCCACGCACAGGCGGTGTCGCTCTCGTGGAGCCTTTCCTGTCTGACGTGCTGTACTGGCACGACGGTTTGGGCACGTGTTGCGAATGCCTCCAGAAAGGAAAGCTAAGCAACTGTTTGTAGCCAAGCGGGCCGTCAGAAGGCCCAGGGGACGGCCAAGATTAACATGGTTCAAAAAAAATGGAAGGAGGTTGTTCAAGACTCAAGCTGTCTTCTGCCGAAGCTCAGACTCTGGCACAGGATCGAGAACGTTATAAACACTCTTTGACGCGTGTGCCTCCGCGATCCGAAACGAGAAGCGGCCATGGAACATGGAGAGGAAGATTCTTCGCAGGATTTTCGGTACGAAGCACTTCAAAACGATTTGCAACACGGGGAACGATTTGCAACACAGTTGGTGGTGAAGCGAGCGCCCCTCGTTCAAGGACACGAGGAAACAATCACGAAGACATGGGCGCGCACTGCCGATACGACGAGAGACGAGCAGTGGTCGCAGTCACCGGAAACATTACTACGGGCCATCAGTCCGTAAGCAAGATCCATTATCCGACCGTGCTTCGGAGCACGTTACGACCGCACCAGTATTCCTTGTCCCCCGTTCTGTTGTCCACCTCGACCGCTGGCCAGAAAATTTGACCATCGGGCGGTCTCGGCATAGTCTCGGACGCCGGAAGCAACCTGTCCTTCGAGGTTCAGCCAGACCAAATCACTAATTGTCAACGTCAACCAGGCCGGGCGATCAGAGGAAGAAATCATGACCTCTGATAGAGACCGTTGTCGGATTTGTGCGTGTTTTGGAACGGGATCCCGGAGGGACACTGTACATTGATCGCTCCATCGCTCTGTGCGTAACGACCAGCTTGTTC